CTTGGGCGCTTTATTCCAAACACTCGATGATGAAAGTTACACTGTGCAATCTTTTAAATTCTCAGTGAAGAAATTTGGATTCAAGCTCTAATCCCAAACCTTACATCCCATTTTGGCCAAACTATTTTAGACCTTAAAACCCTCTGTTTCAAAATAGTTTTTCAAATGCTTCTACGATGTTCCGAGGCTCGCATTTCGTTTAAAACATTGCACTTTTGGTAAAAAGAGTAAGGAAAAAGTGGAAATAAATGGAAGGGAGGTGAAATCTTTGAAAAATCAGTAAAAAAAATTGTATTTATAGGTTTGGATTTGAAGGAAATAGGAGGGGAGGGAAGAAAACTAGTTTAGGAAGAAGTTGAGCATCAAACCGTTAAGAAAGAATAAGTAGTCTTCACTAAAATAGGCATATCTATTTTCACACTTAGCATTTAGATATGAGGCCACCGCCATTAGAAATTACACTTTTGGGGCTACAATTTAGACTCAAGAATCACCTAAAATCGAGTCCAGATGAAGGAGATATACCCGTTTGAAGTTGGGCCTGAAACGCAGATTTTTGGACCCGGCTGTGCCTCATTGAAGCCAGGGCGGGCCTTAATGAAAACTTTTCCAGATTTTCTTTTTAGGCCGGCCGGGTCTCAATGGCGCCAGATAGATAGTTGGCAGGACTTGAACAAATATCTTTTCGTTTGAAGATATTTTTGACCATTTTGGCTCAAATTCTATAAATAGAGCCTCTTCCTTTAGAATTCAAGGTTAATAAATTTTCCAAAGACTTTGAAGAGCTAAAAAGAGCCCCTTTCATCTTCAACACCTTTCTTGACCCTCAAACCTTCTTTAGCTATACATACACAATACATACACCATTAGAGCTTGTTCTTGAAGCTTTTTGTTGAAGTTTCAAATCATATTTCATAAACTTGAGGGTGTTTGGAATCAAGTTTGATCAACAACCAAAGTTTGCTCTCTTCAAGAGGTATAAGCTTGTCACCTTTTTCCTTGCTTTCATTTCAATCTTTTTCTATCTTTTTCTGGTGTTTTCCTACTGTTTTGGATCCATTCCAAGTGTTGGAACTTGGGGTTGAAGAGCTACCCAAGGTAGAGAGGTTTAACACTTTTTCTTACACCATATCCCATAGCTCATACCCTTTGTTTTTGCACTCTTTTCTTTGTTTTTTACACTGATTTTTAGAGTTTAAAAGGGCTGAAAAACATGGTTTAAAAATCTCAAAAGTGGAGGGATTAGCCACCTCTCATTGATTTTGCTTACTAGCTTTATATCTCTTACTTTTGTCTATCTTTTTGTGCTCTTTAAACACATTTTTAGCCACTGTTTTTAGACTGTTTTGGGGTTGAAACATGTGATTTAAAAGTTGCAAAAAGTGGAGGGGTTAACCACCCCTCCTTAGGCTTTGTTCCATAACTTTTGCTCTACTCTTTTTACTTACCTTATCTTGATTTTAGCTAGTGTTTTTAGCATATTAGGGGTTGTTTTAGGGCTGTCCTAATTTATTTAATTAGTGTATGCTTTGAATATATAGCTTGTTGTGTCGTAAGTCCTTATATCTAGCTTGTTGTGTTGTGTTACCCATGCTTTGATAGCTTTTCTTTGATTAATTTTCATGTCAAGAATCTCATTCTAATAATCAAATTCATGTGTTCATTTCTGCAACCTCCCTCTTTTCTTCTTTTCTTTTGTTTGAGGGTTATTTCAATCGATTGATGGTTATTCACAGCATGAAATTGAGACCTATGCTCAATGGCTTAATCTCTACGAAGGTTCATCGTCAACGGCATGGTCTCTCTTTCATGTTTAGGATCACCTCTCGTTTGAAGTTCTTCTCGTTTAGTGGACTTAATTATCACTTTGAACAAATGGACTAAAGAATTGAATGAACTAAGAAAATTGCTAAAATGAACCAACCAATGTAAAGAAAATGAGTTATATTGCTTGGGTTCGGCCGAACGTTATGCTGAGTCTATTGTGTCAAGAGTCATCACACATCAATTCATGGTGTTTTGACGTCCCTTGAAGCGTCTTTACCTCCCTCTTTGAGCTTGCTCCATAATAGGAGGGAGGGGTGGTTATTGATTCATTACATTCATTGATTTTTGTCCAAAATCATCAAGCAATCAATTTGCTCATTGATGGTTTTTGAAATGACTTTGTTCTTCTTTTGAGGCTTTCCATGACAAAGAAGAGTAGAAGGGACAAACAGAGTTTAGAAAAACTCTACCTGCACTGTTTTCACCTCAGAGCACAAAAATAGGATTTTGCACAAAATTAGGGCACGACCGGCCTTATTTGGGCCCGACCGGGCCTCATTGGGGGTCGGCTGATCTTCAATGTTTGGTACACAACATGTTTTGCAGAAAACAGATGACAGTGGCTGAAGGTGAAACAGAATGGTCTGGGCAAACAGAGCAGTTTCTGGACGTTGCACATGTAAGCATTGTGCATCCTTGTGCATCCTTATTTGATGATTAATCATTAATTATTATTGTTGTAATTAATTAATATTGTTGCAGCCATTGTTTATTTGTAATTGTTATAGCTAGTTAACTTAGATAGCTAGTTCATTTCATTGGTATTCATTAGAATTTGTAATAAGGAGTTAGCTTAGCTTAATTCATTGACTTGACTTTGTAATAATTAGTTTAATTCGGACTCTCGAACATTGATTCGCACCCTCTTGCACGAGGGCCAACATGTAATGATTCACTTGACTTTGTAATAATTAATTTACTTCTCACGAGATTCTGGGAACAAAGTCGAAGAGCACGTGCACAAGATGGAATCCACAACCTGAAACGAGGAACAAAAGAACTAAATCGGTTGCTACCAATCGAGAGGGCACTCTGACGATCAAGTCAGTAACATCTCTCAAAGATAATCAACATAGTAACAATTCTAGTAATAACTCACAAGTAAAAACGTAACTTTAACCCACAGGGGTGCCTCTCTTTATATAGGATTGTGTCCTCCTTATCCTAAGAATAACACTTATCCATAACTCATCTCTTCTAGTTGGACTAATATAAACCTTTCACAAGAGTCCTAGTTTATCCAACCAAGGAGTCTGTCTTCAATTAGGACTCAAGTCCTTCTTCAATTATCTTAGATCTAGTGTGATAGCATCACACCTTAGCAAATTGCATCCTGTCACGTGACACATCGGCTAACAACTTAGCCATGTGGATAAGACAAAAATTATGTTCCTACAACACCTAATCACAAAGGACATGTCTTTACATGAAAAGACATAACTATTACTTTAATTTTGAAACTTTAAATAATACTCTTACAAAAAAGACCAAAACTAATCAAGGTGGTACGAAAGCACAACCATACATAATATAAAATGTATATTTTAATATAAAAGAGATGACAATGATACTTTTTTTTCATTTATACAATTAATGAATTTATGATAAAAAGGGAGTCAAATGTTATATGAATTAAATCCTTAAAGGAGCCATAATTATGTAAACTTGTTGGGTTTTTTGTATTTTCTACAAGCCTCAGGGATGGCCATTGTAATTTGTCCAAAAAATCAATAAAAAAAACTTTAAAAAGCAAAAAAAGTTGATTTTTTTTTTAATTTTTAGTGATTTTTTTATTTCATTAAAACTTAAAATTTTAATCTTTTTTATTTTAATTTTTTTTTAAAAAAAAAGCAAGAAAGACAAAAAAAATATATATATATATAATGCCAATCCCAAACAATTGAAAGTCCATAAATCACCTAACAATAACAAAGAATGGGGGTAAAACTTAGAAGTTTGAATCTTTTGAAATTAAAAATTAAAAATTAAAAAAAATAGTAAAGACAAAAAATTAAATTAAATTAAATTAAATTAAAAAATTAAAAAAATCCAAAAAAATCACTAAAAATGCCAAATCTTGAAAGTCAATAAATTGTCTAACAATAAAAAAGAAGAGGGTGTCCGTCATAACTTAAATGACCTTTTATAATTTATTTTAATTTGAAAGTTTGTGAGTGATACTTTTTAACTTATATTTTCTGATATCAACATTTAACTTGCAATAAACTGCAAAAACAATATAGCCAATGTGATAACAGCAAAAATTGTTGCTGCTTCCCAATAGGAATGGCCCTATCCATGGATGTATTTTGCCCTTATCAACAAGCTTAGATTTATTTTAAAAAAATTCTTTTATCGATTTAAAACAAAGAAAAAAAAAATTATATTCCTACTATAATTTAAACAGGCAATTTAATCATCTTTGTTTTAGGGTTGAACCCCAACCTTTCCTTTATAAACACCTAAGTACGGCCTCCATAGCACTAGTCCATGGGCAAGGAGGAAGTTTAATCTGTCAACTACATTTACACGAATCTTAAGCTTTGCGTGGTTAGGTTTTTCAAAATAACACTTTAAAGAAAATTTTATTTTCTTGTTTTCTTTATTTTTTTATTTTTATTGAATTTTTTTAATATTTTAAATAATTTTTTTTTTACTTTTTAGACATACCTAACATAAATATATCTAAAAAATAAAAAATTTGTGATTTTTTTTTTAAAAAATTCACTAAGTACCAAAAATATAAAAAAAAAATACGAAAATTAAGTACATTTTTTATATTTTTATGTATTTATTAACTTTTTAAAATATTTTTTTACAAATTTTTTACTTTTTAGATACATCTAAGTAAAATACAACTAAAAAAGTAAAAAAATGTTTAAAATTTTAAAAATATTCACTTAAAACAAAAAAAACTCGAAAACCAAAAAACTCAATTTTTAAAAAGCTTAATCAAAAAAGCTCAAACCAAACACGCTGAATGGTTCTATTTTTCCCAAAACTTTTTTGCCTTGTGTAATATGTGTGTGTGTGTGTGTGTGAGAGAGAGAGAGAGAGACAGAGAGAGAGAGAGAGAGAGAGAACCAACATTGCTTCAAATCCTGAAATGAACAAAAGACAAACATCTTATTTACCTAAATTTCATCTGAGAATGCATAAATTTATATTAGCTCTTCATCACATCAATTTTATGCCATAGTCATAACAAAATAATTCATAAATACATCACACACAAACATATATGCATGCATTTATTTGTGCAAACATTACAACAAAGCATTATAGATAAACCCTTTTTTTCTTTTTCTTTTTGAAACATAATTTGATTACTTGGATGTCTCAAAATTGAAAAGATGGACTGGTATAAAGGCCAGAGTAACTTAAACTTTCGAGTACAAAGTATGATGCAGAGGCCATGAGCAAAAGGTTCAAGCGATCTGAGTAAAAATCAGCTGTTAAGGCACGAATCCTTCTTGAACTTTATAGGTTTGGTACTAGTAGAGTCGATAACCAAAGGGCAAGAAATTTGTACTGTGTGTTTTGTCCTTACCAATTTCCCTACCACATTGCCACGGGACCGGATCTCAAACTGTAATGTCAATGGAACTTGAACAGCATTAGTGTTGGAGGCTGTTGTTAAGCTTGATCCAGCCCCATACAATGGAACCTTAGTTCCTTCCAAGTTCACCAACACAATCCGGTGACTCTTTCTTGGCTGAGAATATTTCCTCAACTGCAATTATAACATTCAAAATAAGTACAATTTATTGAAATTTGAAAGAGGCGAAGAAAGAAAATAAAAGAAAATTGAGGGAAAATAAAATCAACAAAGAAGCAAAAAAACACCCTCGATAACAAACAGACAAATTACAAAGCAAGCATGAGGTTCTTCGAAAACAAAGACATCTCAAATTTTCAATGAAAACCAAATTCAGAGTGGCGAAGAGAATGTCCAATGATGGAAATCTCTTATATATTGAGCGGTTCCATGGTCTTGGTCATCACTTAACTCTACTTCCACTTCCACCTTAACTCTACTTCCACCTCCACTTCTCTCTCTCTCTCTCTCTCTATATATATATATATATATATATATATATTATCAATACTATTATTATAAGTGAACACTTGACTTGGTATAGTGTCACAGTAAATTTTTTTCCCCAAAAAACCATGCATGAGATAACTTCTCTGCTTTTGTTTCTTCAACACAAAAAGGAGCAAATATGTCATAACAAGCCACCACCCACATTCAAAGAAAACTCCTTATGAATTCAACTGTCAAATCTCTTCTCAATTTCAAAAAATTATAGCACACACATCGCATGTGATCCAGTGCTAGCATTATATAAAGTGTACACTCCATTTGGTGAATACACTGTCACCTTTTCTTTTCTTTTTTCCCAAGAATATCCAGTGACCTCTAGGTTCAATAACTGTTGAACAGTTTAAAACTGCCAAAATTTTTCCTAATTCATGAAATTACCCCTCAATTATCAAATCATCCAAAAGTAAAATTGCAAACATATTGCGTTTGCACCGGCCACTAGTATATACATATAAAAAGAAACTACATTAATTATACCTTGGACCTTAATATGCAATCTATGTTGGGACCACATCTTTGCTTATGATTTAAAGCTGCTACCATGACCAACAACCTTGCTTGATCAATTTGAATCGAAATCATTCCTCATTGTTTCATTCACTTGTCATAATACTGAATGCGAATAGAATTATTACCTGACCAGTTGCAACAGTAATCGCTGAATAGAGGAGATTGATAGGCGTGGAGCTAATATGAATACCGAAAAATGTGGCAGGGTTGTATACGCCAATCCTCAACGAGCCATTCATGGTCAACATCTTTGTTGGGACCCCAGTGAAGTCTGAACCCTCCCCAATGTAGATGTTATTTACTACTAAGCTCTGCAAAGATTGTACCATCCATTCTCAGAGGGGTGAAACTATGAGCTATGATCCAATTATTAGAAACAAATGAGAAATAAGATGTGGTTGAGAAAGAACATGGGGAGAAAGTAAAACATGGTCGTTTCCATTCGTAGGGAAAGAATCCAATACATATTCAGAATGAAAGAGAAGTGATTATTTAAACCTAAAATTGGAATCTTAAAATCATATTGAGATGAAAAGGGTGTGCTCCATTTCTTACTCTCAACAATTCATGCAGTGCAAAAAAATCGATTTGACATTTCAAATCTTATATTTTCTTTAGGGTCTGTTTGGATAGGTGTGGATTTGAAATCAAGTGATTTGAGGATAAAAAATTGGACAGTTAACTATTGTAAGTGAAGAGAAAGAAGATAAGTTAAGATAGAATATATGAATTTTCCTTGTACTTTTTAGAAAAGAATACTTAGCATGATTTCAAAAAATTACTTTTATATAGTTATTTCAAATACATCATGATAAAACTATTTAATTTAATCTTAAAATTCATAGATAAACTATTAAATCTAAATATGAGTTATTCTCCTTGAATAATTAATGTCAATATTTCAAATCCACATCCATCCAAACCAACCCTTAATCTTCCCATCCCAATTTTCACTTCTTCCTCTAAACTTCACTACAACCAAAAGACAATATGAGCATGTGATCGTTCAAAACCTGCATGTGTATAAAACTCTCATTTCAATGCTACTCTTACTTTTGTTTCTTCAATAAATTATGATGTCTTAATTAACAATTTGAAATTTGGTGTGTCAACTCAATGAAATTCTCAACATAACCATTATCATCATGAAATTACAATTTTCATTTCATCAATGCTTCAATATCTCTTAGAACATATATATAAACAAAACCAACTATTACTGAAACAGAAAATCCGGCATACCTTCACGGAGACCTTGGCTTTGTAGTTCCTGCCAGCACCCCATATGATCAAACAAAAGACGGTAAACAGAACAACAAAACTAAGCACAGCCAACAACGCCTGGAATCGGCGAGTAAAACGCTTATCATCATCAAATTCATCATATTTCCCCTCTTCTAGAATCACATTACACTCAGGCCAACCCTTATCATTCCTTTTCCGGCCTCCTTTCCTCCCCGAAGACGACCTAAAAATCCCCGAAAACCGACTAGATGAAGAGTTCCTAGAGTGCCTCCCAAAGGAAGGGTGTGAAGGAGACTCAATTGGGCTGTTGTAATTGGGAGTGGCTTGCATAGAAGATGACTTGTCACCATCTTGAGAGTCCCTTGAAGGGCTCTGTACATAGTACACAGGCCTCTTGGGAGACCTAGATGGTGATGAAGGGGCTAAACTAGTTATATCAGATTCAGACTTTGTGGCCATCATTTTTCAAGAAATCAGTGTAACAATTGATCAATTAAAACTCTCTCTCAGCTTCACTGAAGCTCAAAATTCACCAATTTCTGAAAAAATTTTGATGCCCAGAAAGTTTTGGAACATTAGGAAGTGAGAAATTGAAAAATTGTGAGTCAAATTGGGAAAAGGAAACATGGAAGGGACAAGAAGGTGGGATTTTAACGGTCGAAACACTCTGTTTTTGAAGAACTAGAGAAACTACATACCTGCATTTGCTGATGAATTTAAACTAACACATGAAACAAAACTCAAACCCATCACTTGAATTACATAAAATATAAAAAGGGTACCCAAAATTTTCAAATCGAGAACAAAATATAGAACTTTGCTTGAATTGAACCCTGGAACCAGAACAAAAATTCAGCTCACTCACTCTCTCTCTCTCTCCCTCTCTAAACTCTATGCCCCAGTGAGAGTTGGGCTAAAATAGTGAGAGGTTTTGTGGGTGCTTTTCGGACACCCAATAAGACAGCTTTGTAGAGAGAGACTGACACAGAGACGGAGACAGAGACAGACCAGAGCACAAAGTAACCAACTACAGTAAACAACCATGGCGCGGGTTAAACCGAACCTCGTACCGAGCCTACAAAGAGCGTAGATTGGGAAAATGTCGGCAGCAGCTACTAACCGGGGACCATTTCCCAATATAAGCCATTTTTGTATTGTATTTCCAAAACTAGGCCAACTTCCGACGGAATTTCAAAACTAAGTTAAAACGCCATTACTATTCGCGCTTTTACTGTTAGGAGCGTAAAAGTAGGTGAACAGGAAAATCGCTATTACAAATAGCGACTTTGATTAATAAGTCGCTATTACAAATAGCGCTTCTAGTGTTTGTTAAAAACGCTTTTCCTAACAGCGCTTTTTTTAAAATTGCATAAAAACGCTATTCGTAATAGCGATTTTAAGAAAAAATTTTCCCCGGAAAAAACGCTATCTCTAATAGCGATTTCAGTTCAAATTTTGTTGCCAAAAAACGCTATTTGTAATAGCGATTTCATTTAAATGAAATCGCTTTTTAAAATAGCGTTTTTTGGCAACAAAATTTGAACTGAAATCGCTATTAGAGATAGCGTTTTTTTCGGGGAAAATTTTTTCTTAAAATCGCTATTACGAATAGCGTTTTTATGCAATTTTAAAAAAAGCGCTGTTAGGAAAAGCGTTTTTAACAAACACTAGAAGCGCTATTTGTAATAGCGACTTATTAATCAAAGTCGCTATTTGTAATAGCGATTTTCCTGTTCACCTACTTTTACGCTCCTAACAGTAAAAGCGCGAATAGTAATGGCGTTTTAACTTAGTTTTGGAATTCCGTCAGAAGTTGGCCTAGTTTTGGAAATACAATACAAAAATGGCTTATATTGGGAAAAGCCCCG